TTGCAAGAAACAAAAAACAAAAATAGTTACCAAACGCATTTTTGTTTCTAATTTTAAAAACAATTAGGAACAGGAAACACGAAACAAGAACGTTACCAAACGGGTCCATGATTTTTTGTTAGGACTAAATCAATACATTTATAAAAGCATTTATAAAAGTATAATGAAAGTAAAAGAAAAACTATATACGATGATAATGATAAAATAGTATAATTATAATTATAATTATTTAACAAAAAATAAAGGTGTTGGAAAGAACACTCTTCCTTTTCATTTGAATTTTTGATGCTCATATTTTAATGTCTATAAAGCTCTCATGAGTTTGCATTGTTTCAACTGATTGCATGTTGATCATTCAAATGAGACCCCATTTCTTTATTCCATTGCTTTTCCTTAATACTTTTTTTTTCCATCCCCTATAGTCCCCAATATTGACCGCTATATTATTTGGAAGGTAGGTTGAGGGAGAGGAAACTTCAAAGTTTTTTTATAAATAAAATGAAAAATAAATATAAAATTTCTTGAACTTTTAAATTGTTATGATGACTTGACGGGGGTAAAATAATTGACAAAGACTAATTGATTTTAAGAACCTATGAGTAGTTTCAATTGATCCATATTTCCCAACTTAAATATATACAACTCAGTTGTCGTCCTTTTCCATCTCTACTTCTTAGAAAATTTGTTTTCCATCCTCTCTCTATGTAATATTCAATCAAAGTCTTAATTATTATCAAAGCTAGCATAACTTAGTGGTAATTGATATATATATCTTCCACCAATAAGGTATAAGTTCGATCCCCACCCCCAAATATTGTACTAAAAAAACAATTCCTAATTATCTGCTCGAGAAACATATCTGGTATGGTTGCAAATTTTATCACACCCAATATTCGTGAGTGGAATGTTCAAAAACGACAACGGAAGGGAATCGTTTGCGAAAGGGTAAAGGCAATGTAACCCCATATTCGGCACCTGGGCCAATCAGTCGACCAACCCAATAATGGGTTGGTTAGTCGACACATTGCGAAACGGTAATGACAATATAACCAACCCATTGCATATTTAGAGATGGGCCTCTTGAAACGAGCGACACATTAATCACGACTCGAGGGCCGACAGCAATGAGAACGGAAGGGAATCATTTGCAAAAGGATAAAGTTAATGTAGCCCCATACCCGGCGTCTCAACCAATCAGTCAACCAGCCCAATAATGGGTTGGTTGGCTCACTACTACTTCTAGTTTGTGATGGTAGCCTAGTGAGTCCTTAAAGGTCCAACAATTTAAGTGTTATTTCTAAAGCTCAACCATTCAAAATAAGAAGATATCTTAAAAAGACACCCTAAGAAGAATAGGACCTAGTCTCTATAAATAGAGAAAATACTTCATATTAGAGGTAAGCTGAAAACCTTACTTTAAGCTAAGCTTCATATGCAATCTATGATTCTATCTTAAGCATATCTTAAGAATGACCAAAGGACATTTAGGAAATTTTCGTAACCTATAAATACTCAAATTCTCCTGGCTTAAACCCCACTTAAAAAGTCATAGATTTTCAAATCTCTTTAAAAATTGAAAGACCCAGGAAATTTCTCTTCAAAATTGCAAGAATCCGTCAAAACCCTCATTTATGCTGCAAGAACCCATGAAATCCTCCTCCATAGTTGAGCTATTTGCGATTAGGGTAGCCATGGAAGGATTTTTGTCATCAAAATTGAAAGGAAAAGAAGTCGCCAAGAGTAAGGGAAGTCGTCCGCCCATTCCACTGCCACCAACACCTCCCGGCCTGATTCCATTAGAGCCACCGAAACTCCCAATGAGCAAGATTTGTCTCCCTTTGATAGCCCATTTTCCCTCCCGTTGTTATTTTGAAGAGTGTAAGCCGTATTTCGCATGCCGGCCTTGTACCTACCCAATCTAGTTCCCTACAAAAATCTATTGCTATAAAGAATGTGGGTGCGGGTTGAAAGAATATCTAAGGGGTTAGGAGAACAAGAAAATCAAGGAAAGAGGGTTTGCATGTTAGGCAAAAGAAAAAGGCAAGAATAGGTTGGGAAATATAGTTTTGATAATATTCGAAAATCGACAGAGGAATGACAAGCTGTTGGGTAAATATATAATGTATATGTAAAAAACAGATTATAACGTAACTGACTACAAACAATTATAGATCTTGACAGCTTGATGAACAAAAGAACTTTACGAAATATAGTCGAGGCACGCTACAATAGCGTTGACCTGAAGACAATTATTCGCTCTGCATAAGTTGCTAGCAGACTATAGCGATCATCTTAGCAGGATACAACGACTAACTCCGGTCACTACAAGAAACGGAGTTTTCAGCGACAAACTTTTAGAGACATATTAACAACAATGTCACTAAAATGAGCTTTCAGCGACATCGTCAATATCTGATGTCGCTGAAGCTCCTTTTCAGCGACGCCCTCAACCATATGTCGCTAAAAGTCTATTTTCAGCGACAAGGTTAACAAATTGTCGCTGAAAGGGCACTTTCAGCGACGACGTCAACTGACGGCGTCACTGAAAACAGTTTCAGCGACACATAAGTGGGATTTGTCGCTGAAAATGTAATTTTATCCCGAATAAAACCCACTTTCGGATATTACAATTCATTTTCAGCGACACCGTCAACCAAATGTCGCTGAAAGTACATTTTTAGCGACGCCGTTAGGTAAATGTCGCTGGAAAAGCACTTTCAGCAACGCTGTCAATTGACAGCATCGCTGAAGAGATTTTCAGCGACACATAAGTTTTATGTGTCGCTGAAAATCTCTAATTTTTATCCCAAATCAATTCGCGATTTCACAAACCCTCGCCGCCAACGCAATTTCTTCTCCCATTC